AGAGTTTTGAAAGCGCAGACGAGCGCAAATTTTCAGGAACAAACATACCATCGACTAATTTTCTATCATTCATCTTCACACCGTTTATATTAGCCCAGCCCTAAAGTTCTGACATCCCTAAAGTAATCTACCAACGTTTTATTACCTGCCAATGAGGCTAGAACTACGGCGTCATTCGCACATTTGCGTAGAGGTCTCCTTGCTTCTAGTGGCCTAGAGACCATTCAATCAGGACATGGATCGCGGCATATTTGCAGGTTTCTAAACGCGCCCTTGTTCGGCCCTGCAGATGTTCGAATTCCATGGAGCCGGCCTGCTTAAATTGTTCCTTAGGCCATTAGAAGCAAGGAAACGGTGCTTTCACCGCTTCAGACCGGTACCAAAAACTGAAAAGAATTTTGTCTTAGCGGCGGTAACGATAACTAGCAGCATTCCAGTGAATCGATAAGACCGGATTTAGTCTTTCTGTATTGGAAAACGGTTACTTTTAGTGAATGTTGCGCTTAACTGCTCCAGCTGATGAGCTTGCTGGGGACGCGCTCTCTCGCTTACATGTTCCGTAGTTTTCGTCTCGGTCGTTGCGGATAATGTGACACCTTGACTTCATTGCTAATATTATCACCTACTGCCAGTGTACGATGGACATGAAGCGCTTTGGGCGCTCTCGGAACATGGCGAAGCTTCATGGTTCTGTGAGAATAATTACGTCAATGTTTTGAGTAGCCACGAAGGTTCGGTTTAGTCGTTAGCTGAGGATGGATAAAGTATTGAACAGCCTTGAACCTTACTTGCAAATCCGTATCCGAAAGCTATCGCGTTCCTCCGCTGATGCAATGCATATCTCGGTAATGATAATTCAAGTTACAAAGTTGTCCATCAGTTCGAAGGACGTAAGCGCCATTGCTGACTGAATTATTTATGCCTTCTTCATCTTCATCTTCCATCGCCGCTTCTCCTTTCGGGTCGCGGTGCCTTCTTTATATTCGTTATTCTTTGTTTACGTTAAATTTACGTTGATGCATAGGTATACGGTAGAATTGTTAACATCGGAATTTTTCAGTATATTCGAGTCGCGCTGTTTGAGGTAAATTTTTTCCGTTTCTACTTTGAATAATATTGTCATACTGCGGAAGAAAAATCATCATGAGATTAAAAAAATCTTGGTTTTGAGTTTAAGTTTTTCACTCTTTTCAAAGCTTTGTTTATTTGTATCCGATTATGAATTTTATGATTTTTCGAATTCTTTGTAGTCTTCAGCGGATACTTTTTCTCGGCAAGTTTTGCTAACTTTCTGAGTTTGTTAGTTAATTAATAATTCCCACCATTATTAAATCTTAGTCTTGAGGTTTTTGGTCGATAGTCAGAAACTGTGCGATCGGTTTTGTCCTATCCAGAGATCAGAAGAAGTGACAGGGATTGCTTTTCATGCCCGATGGTGTTGAAAACTAACAATTTGCTAGTAAACTCAAAATATAAGGTTTTTATTATCGATGTTATTATTTGTTCGATCCAGCAAAGTGCATGTATATGTAGCATCATATATAGCACATCCTAGCCTCATTCTATTTTATTTGCTCTTGCATTAGGTATAAAGTGTAAAGTTGTCGATTTTAAAAAATTTATGTTGTGACGCCCTGTCATAAGGAAATGTGATATGTTGAATAATTAAGCCGTTATTATTGCAAGTGTAAATCGAGTATGTGTTCTTGTGGCCATAACTCTATTGTTTTCGGAAGGTTTTTCAATGATATAAAATGTAGCTTGTTATTTACAATATTCTTTCTCTAAATCGTATTTGACCTTTCCTTCATTATCTTTGACTTAAAATTAGTATATGGCTTTCAACAGGGGCTGACAAGTAGCTAGAACGGTGCAAGTAACCTTTCGGTACGCAAACTAGCATGAAGAACGTTTTTCCTTCTGGCCTAGTTTCCATCTTGAATTTAAATTCAGATTCTCCTAACTTTTTTTTCGTTGTTTAGGTGAGCGCTTTGAGCCGCGGTGGTTTTCATGTGGCTTCGGCAAATTTTGCGTCCTTTATCCACGAGGTAGTATCAATTCTTACGATTTGACCTTATTTCTGGAGCGAAGTAACACTGCCTGACAATCTTTCGATGCATATTTTTATGTTCAGTAATATACTTTTCTGTATAACCTAGCGTATTGTATACCTTATGGAGGGAATAAATATGAACAGGCTGGGTCACGTTCCTGTTCATATGAAGTTATTGACTGATGAGGTATTTGGGACAGTGGTACACGTGCAATAGCACGTATGTCTAGAATGGTTTTTGAATACAAATCCTAGCAAAAAAAATCATCAGCTGTTTCTATGCCCGAAAACGAACGGCAGTAAGGCGTGAGGCGCATCGTACTTTTTTATTCTTATTAACATTCTTTCAGATGCGCACTTACCAATGCACCATTAGCAGTTTATCTTGGTTGGTACCACACCTGACTCACTTGAGTAGAAACCTGGAATACTTCTAGAAAAATCAGACAATAGAAAAGGGAACCTGCCTGCGTCTAAAGAATAAAAATAGGCGGGTATTACAATTATCTTCATATAAATATTCATTCACCACATTTTTGGGCATCGTTGAGCTTTCGCTTATGGGTTTATGAACGTATGTGCTCCTATGAAGAATGATCGTTTAAAGCTGGTCATATTCAGTCGCTGACCATTATGCAAAAAATATTTGTTGATATCTTCTTAAATTAATATACGGTACTTTCGTAAAACTCCGTGGAGCCGCGGCTTGCTTAAAAGGTTAAAAGGTCCCATATACAGATATGAGCTGCGCCTGCCTTCTAGATCCGAAAAAATTACTGAAACCTATTAATTTTTTTCATTATAATT